GGGAAAGAGAAATGGGGGATGTGGTTAGTCTGGACAATATCTCCTCTCCAGGAGGGCACCTGCTCCCTTCCTTCTTGGGCTGTTCAGGGTAGTTTTGGATATCCCAAATGTGTGCATTAGCCAAGTGGAATATTGTGGTTCAGGCAGCTCTGTTATGGCTGTGAATTCACAGCCAGATCCCAAGGGAGCTGAACTGCCATTTACAAAAGAATTTAGTTCAAGGAGGAGACTGGCTAAAGACCTGCATGCCCAGGAAGAAGCACCTGTATGTTTTCACCCCAAATTAATATTTTTAGGTGCTATTTCTGGCCTCTTCTCTGCAGCCCTCCAGGCCTGAGCAGAATCACAGAATGTAATTTATTTTTATTCATGGTTCATGAATGTCTTTTCCTTGTCTGTACTTAGCACTGCATTAGCTCAGTGAAACAGAATGGAAACTCTGGTGCAAACACCATCCAGCTGTTCCCATGGCATCATTGCCATGGTATTTTTCTCTAGGAAGTGCAGAGGCTGTGTCATTCCTCCAAATCCCTGCAAATCTGAGTTATGGAGAGCACAGGGAATGTGGAAGGGTCCGGGTCTCTACTGTGTCTCCAGTCCCAGGCTTTATCACAACCAGTCCAGTTGAATCCTTCTCCTTAAAGAAGCTTTTATACCATCAGGAGGGAAATGGTAAGTTCAAACAAAGACAATGTAATGCCATTCTTGTCTTTCAATCCTGTACGTGGCTTTCCTCTTTGCCAAGCCATGCATCTTGGTTTTGGGTGGAAACATTCCTTGTGGGAATGTCAAACAGTGGGAAACAGAGGATGGTACATTTCGGGGGGGGGACGCACAATCCCTCTTAGAGATTTTCACTTGGTAGTTCCGTGCTTGTTCTGAATGCAGGGAGGAAAAGGGAGGAGCTGGGAAGGCAAGAAGAGTAACAGGGTTTGGGAGTGGACAGAAACAAGAGTGAAGAATCCTGTAGAGTGAAGTCTCCCAGAAATTCTCTCCTTGGAAACATTGGTGGAAATATCATGGCAATCATCTGGTGAAGAACGTGAGGAGCTGTGGTGTCTGCAGTGCTGGAGTTAAGCACATGCTGGAGAAAGAGCAATCAGAGCTGGGTTAGGCAGAATTGATCCCTTTGGGAAAAGGGAATGAGTCAGTGAGCTCTCAGCATCTCTTCCCACTCCATTTGCTAGGATTCCCTGGTTGTTGAGAGCTTATGGGCAAGAAAAACAGATGAGTCTGTTTTAATACTCATGCATGAACGGAGTTACGCTTCTCTTGCAGGCAACAAGTCTGTGCACATGTGTGATAAAGAAGATGATCCCTGCCACCTCCATTAGAGGCTGAAGCCTTTGCTTGTTGCAAAAGGTGAAATCCTAAAGGATTAGATGTGGGAAATGATCATGAGCCAGCTGTTAGGGGAAAGTGGGCACTCACAGTACAGCCAAAAAGAAGTGACAGTCAGATTTCATCAATGATGTCCAAACCAACATAAAAGTAGGCAAAATAATTAAATTATCTGTCTCAGAAGCAATGGCACAACAGCATTAGAAGAGCATCTTTCACTTGCTGTGTTCTTGAATCATCTCTAAGCCTGGCTTGTCACTATCCGTAAGGGAAGACCCCAGCCATTTCCTCCAGGATTCAATGACCAACATGGGGCTTATCTACCTGCTTCCAGAAGGTTCCTTCTTCCAAAATGCCCCTTTCACAGACCTTCTCCAGGCTCAGCCAACAGCCTCTTGGAAACACAGTCCCATGATTTCATAATGATAAATAGGAAAGGAGTTACTATTAAATATGGACATTCATTAGTTTTCCAGCTTTTCCATCTTGGAAAATGAAGACAATGCTTCAGGTTTGTGAGCTAAGGCGGGGGAGTGTCTCTTTCTTTTCTCTGCCCTAGATCATATCAAATCCACTAAAGCGACTAAAGCATTTCTAGTGAAGTCTGTTCAACAATCTGTCCTGAAACTGGCTCCATTTGGTGGAAGATCACTGAATTTCGGGAATGAGAAGATGGTAGCATTTTCTTCTAGTCAGGAAAAGAATGGATGGTGGCAGAAGAAATGTCTCTGCTCCACCATTGTCTGAGTCAAATGCCAGGTATTGTTAAATAAAACTCAAGAACTGTGTCCATCTCTGTTTCTGGCTCTTTCATAGAAGGCAGTGACAATCAAATCGAGGCTCATTTAAGTAGGAATAAAGCCTTCAAATCCAGTAGTTACTTTGAGATTTGAGTCTTCTCTGCTCATTTCGTAAGAGCTCTCCTACACCTCAGATTAGTCCTCTTTACCTCTTTGCTGGAATATCTCACAAGGGGACAGAAGACAGGAGAGCAGGGGAGGTGGGAAACAACATTGACTTGATGATTACTTGATATCTTCTTCATCTCTCAAGCAGATCAGCCTGAAGTTCATGAGTGGAAAACCAGGTTATGCAGTTATGATATCCCCATGGTTTTCAGCTAACACCAGGCTGTTCCAGGAGTCCTGTTTGGAGCTGTTTTGAGGAGACTGGCTGATAGCTGACTGGTAAGCCTGCGGGGAGAGCTTCAGAGCCGAAATCGTAGGGTGAATAGATGATCCATGTCCAGACATGGCAGAGACTGAGAATGCCTATGAAAAAAGGAAAATCCTGTGAGCAAAGCCTCAAAGCATGAAGGACCATGTGAATCCCTTTAGTGTAGGCTGGTGCTATTATAATAATACGTCACTGTATTTGCTGTAGAGCTGCACATTGCAGCTTATGTGTGATACTTTGGGCAGGCTCTTTCCTTCTCTTTCCTAATTTTCCTTCTGTTTCTAAAATCACAGAATCATGCAATGGTTTGGGTTGGAAGGGACCATAAAGATCATCTAGTTCCAATCCCCTGCCGTGGGCAGGGACACCTTCTGCTAGACCAGGTTGCTCTAAGCACCATCCAGCCTGGCCTTGAACACTTCCAGGGAAAGTCTCTGTTCTTTCCTGCTGCTTCTTACAGGGCATCTTGTTCTCTTCTAAATGTCATAAATTATCATTTTACTTCCCAAGGCTTGAAATTTCATTGGCCTTGGGCTCTCCTAGCTTTCAAATGAAAGTATCCTGTGTGAATCCACCTTGTGTGAATGCAGTGCTGCTCCCCAGACATCTAGTGGTGACTGTGGTACAGATCACATCACTTTACCCTACAGCTCTCTGCTGTCATGCTCATATCACTCAACACACAGACAGCCAGTGCAGAGAAAGTAGGGAAGTATTGCCAAGTGTTTCCTAGTTCAAGACAAATTAAATCATAGAATGGTAATGGGTATTTTCTTGATATGGGATATGTAGAGCTGCCCAGCAAAAAGTGATATCATGTTTTCAACAAAGCTGCTTCTTTTTGTTGTCCATTCAGAGCTGCCCCACGTTACTAAAATCCTCAACTGACAAAAAAGTGGGGATTGGCTGCATCCCAGAGGACAGATGTCTTACTGTGAACTCCAGACCCTTGGGTTGAAAAGTAACAGCCTTTGTCCACAGAGATTCATAGAATCATGGAATGGTTTGGGTTGGAAGGGACCATAAAGATCATCTAGTTCCAATCCCCTGCCGTGGGCAGGGACACCTTCCACTAGACCAGATTGCTCCAAGCCCCATCCAACCTGGCCTGGAACACTTTGAGGGATGGGGCAGCCACAGCTTCTCTGGGTAGCCTGTGCCAGTGCCTCATCACCCTCACAATCAATGATTTCTTCCCAATATCCAATCTAAACCTACTCTCTGTCAGTGTGAAGCCATTCCCCCTTGTCCTGTCACTCCATGCCCTTATACACAGTTTTTCTCCATCTCTTTTGTAGGCTCCTTCAGGTACTTACACCTAAGTACCTAAGTAATATTTGGAGGATGTTCTTCTCCCCACATCTAGCACCCTAGATCCCATCCTAGTCCCACTGGCAGCACCTCCCCTCTGTACCTGAGAAACCGGGCAAGGGTGCCCATAGTGAGATGAGAGCCCGGGTTCTGTTTTTATGGGCCGCATTTCCTCAGTGGTTGTGGCACTGCTGCTGCTGCTGCTGGTGGAGCTGGTGGTTGGGGTAAGACTCTCACTGCTGGAAGGGCCTGTGAGAAAGCAGATGGTAAACCAGGGTGTTTCCAAAGGCCTCTCAGTACAGAGCTGTACCCACCACCCACCAAGAAGTTAGTGTGGTGAAATTAAATGAAAAAATAGTGGGACAGGCTTTGTTGCTGCTGAAAGGCATTCAGACATCCCCCAGTTTTGGGAAAATAAGCCTGTTTTGTGGTTGGATCTCTGACCTGCAGGACACTGTTGTCAGAAACACAAGTGCACACATGTATACACATACAATAAACTCCCCATTCAACACTTACCTGCTGGTGTCTTTGTTTTGTTAAGGTTCTTCGGCTTGCGTTTCCTCGTCTGAATTCCCTCTTTCCTCATTGCTAAAGGCCTTGGAACCTATAGATCCAAAAATAGAAGCACATTGGTTTCTGAATGTCCATAAGGTCATCTAGGAGAATGTGATTCCAGCTTTGTCTTGTGGGCTCCATGAAAACCAACTGATTTAATTGAATACAGCAAGATGAAGCCCAAATTCCCTGGTCAGCACTGTTGTGTGAAGAGATATGTCAGAACTAGAAGAGGTGCATCCAAATGGGAATAGGTAGGCTGTTGACAACATGGGTACTGAGTGTTTTAAGGCCAGAAGGGAACAGCAGCTCATTGGATTGACTTTCCTGTTTTCCTCCGAACAGAAGACTTCTTTCTGACTAGGAAAGGTACGAAGCCTGTGTGGGTAGACCTCCCTTAGGAACTCACCCCACTGAGGTGGGATAGTCATAAAGATGCTGGGATTTCTAGGAGTCCTGTTTGGAGCTTTCCCTCATCCACTTAACTTCCATCTTTAACCTGTTTTTCATGAATGCTCTTCCATCTATTCTGAGTCACTGAACATCATTGAGAGGATCTTTAGTCAGGCACAAAATGTTCAAGTAAGAGATACAAAATATAAAGCAATTGTTTGTTATATTATTTA